CCCCCTTTTTTTTTTTTTTCTTCAAGAAAAAACAAGCTTCTTCCTTTTTGGTTGGTTTTTGCCTCTTAGAATTTGGAAGAGATGCCTATTTGTGGGACAGGAGAACCTTTTCGCTGTTATACTGTATTCCTGTATTCTCTAATGAACACTCGTTACTTCTTTCTGCAGCATGTGAATGAAGGTTTAGCTGATGTTTCTGTATTCTGTTTGGTGACCTGATTGCACGTGTATCACCTTTGTTAAGGTTCAGATTTATGTGCTTGTCTAATGTCAATTCAGATTTCAGAGGGCAAAACTGATTGTTCTGGTTCTCTTTCCCATAGGCAGTTTGGATTACAAAGAGAGTTCTGGATATTTGGGGCCTTTTGCTTCAGCTGATAAGGGGGGAAAGTTGAAGACTGACCTACCGCTTCATTTGAAAGGGGAGAAATATCAAACACTGACCTGGAATTGTTTGTCCAAGTACTTCCTCCTGAAAACTCTTCTGAAACAATTAATAGACAACTGAGAAGTGAATTTGAAGTTTGAAGACTTGAGCTTTCTCAAGAAAAGAAGTGCAGAACGGCTCACCCTTGGACACTTTTGTGCACATGACATGGATACATGGCTAAATCTATCAAGTTCTGAATACTTCTGCTGTCAAAGTCAAGTGCTTTTTTGCCTTTAGTTAGTTTTCTCTTCCAAGTCAAGTTCTGTTTGAGTCATAGGCATAGCTAGTTTTGTTAACTGCCTCCAGGTTAAAAGCAGCCTGAGTCACTGAGACGTGGTTGAGAAGTTTCATGGCAGATATTTTTACTCTTACTTTATTTCTTAGATTTTCTGACATAGCCTTTTCTCATTTTACAATGAAACCTGTTTTCTAAATGAAGAGTCTAATAGAAAATTGTTTATCATTCTTTCTTTTATATTTTATTTAATATTTTTGTTGAAAAATGTTGCTACCAGTAAGCAACATGGTGGTATCCAGATAGCTGTTGTTTACAGATGCCTCTGTTATCTGAAGCTAGGCAATGTTCCTCAGTTCAGATGTGAAATTTGGATTTTCAGCTTTACTATTTGTGGCGTAAAAAGTATATTTATTTCACCTGGAGTTGATGCTTCTTATAGTGATATTTACATGGAATAAAGAAGAGAAGAAACTTTGAGAGAAGAAAGAAGCTTAAGTCAGAGACTTGGCAATTTTGGAGATAGCTTTGTGGAATCTATAAGCAGGAAGGATGGGTAGCTGATTCTGTGAGGGGAAATCTATGTCAAGCAGCTACGGATGTAGTATCAGCAAGAACTTGGGATATTATCTCAAGGAAAACAAACTGGAAAAATATAAATCACAGAGAACTAACACCTTGTGCAGGCTTCTTGGATTAGGTAAGTATTGTAGTGTTCATAAGTCAGTTTACGCTTGAGCAAACATTTTATCAGTAGAATGATGAAAAAGAAGATGCTGTTTTTCTCGAGAACCTTGAAAAGAGTTAACAGAATCTAATTTTTATTTGCAGTGTTTAATAATTAGGGGGATGAATGTCTTTAAGAAATGGGAGCATATATAACAGAAGAGAGTGCATAAGTAGGAGTGATTTTTGGGGGGCAGGAAGGGAACTAAAAAAAATGTATTTCTAGACTGAATCCCCAGGTAACTTATTTTCTCTGTGCTGATATTGTAATCTCCAAGAATGATCTGTTGTACTCCTTGAAAAATTCTGTTGAATGGCATATGCTTCTTACATTAGACGTTTTTGCAGCATTAAGGTCTAAACTTCGTGTGACTTTCTTCCTCCTACACTAATGGGGCCTAAATATTCATTACCAAAAACTTGTTTTCTGCATATGCAAACTTTTTTTTAATGGTTTGATGTTTTAAGGTTGTATTCAGAGTAATTTCCTATCCTGTGATAGGAACGAATAGGAATCTGGTTTGAAACTGCAGCATAATCCAAAACAAAAAAACCCACAAAACTGTTTCAGAGAGTTCAAGTACCAGCAGACTGGTTAATAACAACATGTAAAGTTGGTTAGTCATTAGAAGGATTGCTGTTTTTCCCCCAACTTTCTTCCCAAGTGGGGGATGGTTTCTGAAGCTAGATATAGTTAAAATACTGAAATAAATGCATTTACAATAATTTCTCTGCAGGTTTGCTTTCAGCTGAATTGCTACTTCCTCAAAGAAAATTAAGATGGACAGAACAACTTAATTCAAAAGTCAGTGGTATTTTTACTAAATTCTCTCCTCCCCCATTATTCATAAAGCTTTAAATAATTAAAGCATTACTGGATAGACTGTAGTCTGAGTGTCTGATAAAGGTGACACAAATGCCTTAGTAGCCACCTTTTCTTAAAGTTTTTCAGAGCTTCAGCAGTACTAAGCTATCAGTAATATTGAGCTAATAAAAACAGCTGGATCTCTCTAAGGACACTACAAAGATATTTGGGAACGTATCTTGTGTTAAAGCCTAGTAGAAAAGTAATTTTAAGCAGGAGAAACTGGGTCTAGAGATTACTATGGTGTTTTTTACCCCTGTAGCTTATTTTGACCACAAGTGAAAGACTTGCATTTAAATCAATATTTTAAATAAATTATTAGGATCACTGACGTAATTCTATTGTTAATTGTCTTATCAGTATCTAAAAGTTGATCTAGCTTCAGTATTTTGGTTTCTTTGAATGGCTTTGCTGTTTTGTTGCTTTAACTTATGTTTTAATTTTGCTATTTGGAAAACATGAAAACTGTGGAACATAGAGGAGTCTGTTTCTGTATTCTCGTGTGGCTGTGGCTTGGGGTTCTCCCACACTGAGTCTCTTAGTGTGGCTGGGAATTGACTGCTTAGACTGGATGAACTGAGCCTCATGTAGAATAAGCAAACCAAAAGAGAGGAATTATCTTCCTCCTCCTTTTAGTTGGAGTAGCTTGTGTTTTACTTCAAACCATTTGGTAAATGGAAAAAATACAAGTATCTTGTTAAAATTTGTCTATTGCATGCCCATAACATAGCAATACAAGTGCCTTTTAACTCCTAGAAAAAGTGATACTTTACTTTTCTTTTTCCAAGCTATTAACTTTTAGTGGTATGAGAAAATTACACCCTTGACAAGGAGTTTTCACTGAAATCAGGGAGCTGCATTCCCCGCTCTGTGGAACACTTACTGTTTAGAGTGACTTCTTTCTCTGGATTCTGTTTCTCTTCTTGATGTGTTGAAGAATTTGCCTTTTAGTCTTGTTAAAGTAACTCTTCTGTTATGTGTTTCTGGCTGCTGGTAGGAGAATATTCCCTGCTGTGCACCCCCCCCCCCCCCCCGCGCCCTCTTTGTATAGGTGAGTATTTGACAGAGTCAGGGTGTGCTTTACTGCTGTGTTTGTGTACCCTGAGCAAAATTCATAGTATTGGGTGAGGCCCATTGAGGAGAAAATGCTTAGCATGCTGGTCCACTTTAATACCTTCTTTAGGTTTTTACTTGTATAGTGCTGACAGTCTGCAAAGTGGTTTGCAAACAAGTATGAAGATAAGATTCTTGTCCCAGAGAGCTTATATTTAAGCTTTGTTGTAAACGTAGCTTTTGTACTGGAATAGTGTCAGCAACTTGACTCTTTTACTGATACAGTTATTCTGGTACGTTTGTATTGTAAAGGTGAACTAAATGTTGTAGGTTGCTCTGTTGTAAGAATGAACTACACTGTTGGAAGCTTTTAAGTGTAAGCAGAGTTTAAACTTGCAACAAAGCTCAGGTGGAATTAAATCTATAAAATGATGTAGAGAAACTGCAGCTATTTGGGTTTGTTAGTACTTTATAAACTAATATACTTTTCCCCCCCCGTGCTGTGAGTTTCCTCTGCTGAAACTGCATGGATAAAAGTTTGACAGTGTTGGCCCATGAAGGACTTCTGAAGTATTTATTCTTTACGCTTAAAAGACAAAGGAGCCAAGTTTTGCTCTATAGAGAATTATTCGCAGACCTTATTTAAAACCAAACTTGAATGAGATTTGGCATGTTTTTATTACTGTCTGTTTTTGTGCAGTAGTATTACAGAGGAAGTGATAAGCCGTATGTAGAGGGGAGAAATATGGTGCCATCAGCTAAATCATTTCTGTGCCTGCTTTGGGTAAACATACTCTGGGAAACAGTTGAAATTGTCCTTCTGTGTTATACCCTTGGTACATGTCAAAACTACCACCTTTTTCATGCTTTTTCTTCAGATTCCTTGTGAAGACTCCAAAGCGCAGAAGCATTCCCAGTGACTTTGTTATATAATGTATGCTGAACTAAGTGGTAATTTTATTGCACTAATGCTTCAGCTTTTGGACTTTGAACCTTGCAGAGGGCAAGAAATCGGTATACGTCAAGCTTCCTACGATGTGGTACCGCAAGTGTAGGATTTCAAGCAGAAGCAGTTGCTGTTAAAAGGTGTTTTGATTTCTGTGACGGTAATATATTTGATTCACAGAAGTGTCCTAATCGGTGTTGCTCATAGACCATATTTTAACCATGTATATACTAAAGTGAACCATATGATAAAGAGCAGGGACGTGTTTGGGATTTTCAGAACACGAATGTCTTACAAAATATGCTGACATTCTAGATCCTTATACAAGACAAAGGTAGTGCTCTTCAGTTGAGTCATCCTCTCCTCAGGTACTTGAGTGCTAGGTAGAAACACAATTTTTTTTCTTTTCACTAGGAAATTAGGTTTGAGGGCTGTGTCTGTACCAGAGAATGTGTTGATTTAAATGATGGAAAAATTGACTAATGTAGTTTGACTCCGTATATTCCTCATTTCTCAACATGACATATGACTTTAGAAAGTGTTCAGATAGTTCTGACAGAGTACATCCTCCCACCCCGGTGGTCTGCAGGTAACCTTAGTTCTCATGCATTTTTTAGATGAGGCAAGAGGTAGGAAAAAAAAAGAGTGGATTTTTTTTTATTCTTCCTCATTGTGTGCCCAAATTTGTGTCAAAACAGTTCTGTGATGGATGGTGGGTACAGTGAAACTAAAACTGCAGATTTTAGTTGGTCTACAGTAGCGCAATTGAGAGGGAAGGGGCTTAGGCTGAACTGTTAAACTTATTTTTAATGTCTGTTGAGCCTGTGGGGGAGAGAATGTTGAAGGATTCAACTCCTTTTCACTTTACTGGAGATGAATTGTTGACAATGCGTTTTTGAGAACCAGAGAACTTGAGAGAATTATCATATGCAAGCTTCACCTTACTTATAAATTTGCTCATGTCTGTAGGCCCTCTTATATATTGTAACGGGAGTTGGGGGGCACCCATATGTTGCTGTCAGAGGTTAACTGTACAGACTTAAGTTTATTCTATTGTTGGGGGTGTGGCTGTGCGTTTACATGGAGAAAAGATTAAGGAAATAATCTTCAGTTGAAATAGTTATTATGCTTTTGCAGAAGTCTTTGACTGGTAGAAACAGTGTTTTGAGTTGGAAAAACTCTGCAAAGTTTGTGTTTGGACAGCAAAATAACTTGAAATTGGCTTATTTGCTGTGTTCAAACTGAACAAATGACAGAGCAAGCAAGGTCTCTAATAAGCCATGCCTTTAAAAAGGGAATACAAATTGAAACGTACAAGGTCTTAGACCAGAAATATTGTTTAAAACAAACTTTTCTTTAAATTAGTGCGGCTCTTGACTAGAGATAATGGGGCACATCACATCACAGAAGAAACTTGATGTTTAAGGTGAAATATCTTCTGCAACAGAAGGAAAAACTTTTGCAGAAGTAGACTATTTTAATTGTCCCCTTAAAGAAAAATCCTGAATGTTTCAGTTCGTATAGAAGAGAGGCTGTGCAGTCTGATGGTTGGGACTTGAGCATATAGTATCTTTGGGTAGTTAAGAGCAAAATTTTGTAGTTGTCGTACTGGCTAATGCTAGATCAGGTGAAGCAAGTTTTTGAAGCTGGCCCAAGATGGGACAGCTGTAGGGTCTGCAGCTTGGTTGTTCAAGAGTTGCTCTGTTTTAGTGAGAATTTTCCCTGATGGTGATATTTTTCCAGAAAACTTTTGACCTTGGCAAATAGCTTTCTCTGTAGTTGTTGTGAAATGCAGTACAATCAGTTTTTGATGTACCTTTGATAGTGAATATTCTGTTCCGATTCCCTTATAGAAAACAGTGTCCGATTCCCTTATAGAAAACAGTGTCCGATTCCCTTATAGAAAACAGTGTCCGATTCCCTTATAGAAAACAGTGTCCCTTCCTTCCCTTTTAGATCCTCAATTTTTTCTAAAATGTCATATGGACTTGGTTATTGGGCCCCTCTAAATTTTGCATATGCTTGGTTTGTCTTTGAATAAGAAGAATTTGAAATACTTACTGTAGTTCATAACCAAGGAGACAGAACAGCAGCAAGAGCGGGGCAGACTAGAGCCACTGAATAATGTGTAACTTTGTATTTTTCATCTAGTGTGTGATAACCATGTTGTAGTGTGTTGTAGAGTGTAATGCAAGATGCTGATGGCTTACAACCTTCTTTTGCCCCATTTACAAATACTATGCTAAAAATCAGGTAACAGGTGAGGGTGGGTTATCAAAGGAGCTTGCAGCGGAGGGGTGGAGTTAAGGTTCCCATGCATGGTCTGTGATATGCCATGTAATAGTAATCTAATAATAGTAATCTGGGTAATTATAATTAATCTGTATTCTCTAGATTAATCTCTATAATTAATCTAGGCAGTAGGTGAAAGATCATAGGGTATGCATACATGGTAATTCTAGATCTTTCTGAAGACAGTGTATGTATGTGCAAATATCTATGTGCTTTTAATGTCTTTATGCTACTCCTGAATTTCTCTATGCAAATCAATAGACTGAAGTTTTTAACTAGTCTTCAGGGAGCCTTGAGAAATTTGAATTCATATAGTCCTTTAAAATCAAGCTTTGGGAATTCATGGCTTGAAGCTTCTGTAATTTTTTGTTAATAAGCTTACTGCTTCACTTAAATAGGTAAGAATACCTGAAGCTTGTGAGTTTATACTTGCCTTTTATTTTTATTTTCTTCTAATCTCCGAAATAACTTGTATTACAGAAACTTTCTCCTGTAAAATCTTTCGGGATAGCCAGAGAGTGTGAAAAGTATCTCAGCTGAAAACATGTAACTGTTTTTCCTTGTCTTTAGCTTCTGGTGGGCTTGTTTCAGCTGCCAGAGTAATACTTGTTAGCGTTACTTTAAAAATTATTTTATTTTTCCTATAAAA